TTTTCAGAAATAGATAAGACATTGAATGGGCAAAGGAGCAGAACTGAATCAATGGAAGACAGAACTGGTGAGATTGAAGGCAAATACCTGAACACTTCTTTGGAAAGGGATCAATCAGAAAAAAGATCACAACAAAATGAAGAAAGCCTAAGGTTTGTGTGGGATACCGTCAAAAGGAATAACCTATGTAATGGGAATTCCAGAACAGGAAGAGACAAATAACACCACAAAGAACACTGTTGAAGATTTGTTGGAAGAGAGTTTTCCTGGTATGATGAAAGATGAGAATATATACATTCAAGAAGTCCAACGAACTCCAAACAAGGTAGACCCCAAAAGAAAATCACCCAGACATATCATCATCAAACTCCAAAGGCAAAGATAATCCTGAAAGCAGAATGGGAAAAACCATGCAGGCAAGAAGACAATGGGATGATATATATAAAACCCTGAAAGAGAAAAATTTCCAACCAAGAACTATGTGCCCAGCAAAATTGTCCCTCAAATATGATGGTGAAATTAGGACATTTCCAGATAAGCAGAAATTAAGGGAATTTGTTAAAACCAGACCAATCTTACAAGAGATGCTAAAGGGAGCCCTTTAGACAGAAAAGCAACAACAGCCAACAACAACTGACCATTAACACACATGATGATGTAACCCAGAAACCAACCCAACTATGGAAGTATCCAAAGTAAATAAGCCTACAAGATTGTAAACAGGGAACCAGAGACATCAATTGACAAATGAGGACAACTACAAACCAAAAAGAGGGAAAAAACTGTGTCGTTACAGAACTTCTAGATGGTAGGGAAGTCAAGACAACTACAAGATAGAACAGACTGTTCTAAACTTGGGAAGAAAACTATAAATCACAGAGCAAGCTCAAAGAAAAATGATAAATCTTCACATCAAAAGAAAAAAGAGGACCAGCACAAATATTTAGCAAATACTCAAACAATAGCAATGAAGGAAGTGATAACACGATTCATAAACAAAACGAACTCAGCATAGAAAATTATATGGAACAAAGAAATTGACACCACGAAAAAGCATATAACAAAAACGACAGCAGCAAATTCATATTTGCTGATAATTACATATCTGGCAAGGGACTTATCTCTAAGATTCATAGAAAACTCCAACACCTCAACAGCAAAGGGATTATTAACAATCCAATTGAAAAATGGGCAGAAGACATGAAAAGACACTTCACCAAGGAGGATATTCAGGTGGCTAGCTAATACATGAAGAGACGCTCACAATCACTGGCCATCAGAGAGATGCAAATCAAAACAACAATGAGATACCATCTCACCTCAGCACTGATGGCAAGGTTCAACAAGACAGAAAATAACAAATGCTGGCAGGGATATGGAGAGATTGGATACTCATACACTGCTGGCAGGACTGTGAAGTGATACAAACACTGTGGAAAGCAATATGGCGATTCCTTAGAAAGCTGGATTTGGAGATAGCATTTGACCCAGCAATCCCATTACAAGGTATATATCCTAGAAAGGTGAAAGCCAGGACAGGAACAGATACATGCACACCCATGTTCATCGCAGCATTATTTACAATAACAAAAAGATGGAAACAACCTATGTGCCCATCAGCAGAAGAGTGGATGACAAAGCTATGGTACATACCCACAATGGAATAACACAATAACACAGCAACAATAATGCAGCACTAAAGAATAATATTAGAGTCTGCAAAACACTGCATGATATGGATGAACTTGAAGGACATTATGCTGTGTGAAATAAGTCAATCACAGAAGGACAAATATAGTATTAGTTTGTTGTTGTGGAGGGTCAAGGAAAGGTTTATATATGGAGGGAAACTTTCTTTGTTGGTTGCCAGGGGTGGGAGGGGAGAGGAAAGGATATACCACCCACCCCCAAAAAAAAGTATTGATTCATGTCACTTTAGTTCTGTGTATTTCACTGTACATAAGTTATATTTCAATAAAATGCATTAAAAATAAATAAATTAAATTAAAAAAAAATTTATAGCCTTGGGAACCCAAGGGGGGTCACTGAGTGAGAATCAACTCGATGGCAGTGGGTTTGGTTTTTTTGGTTTATACCCTACATATGGGAGACAGCTCTGGTGGCATAGTGCCTAAGGCACTTGACGGCTAACCAGAAGGCTGGTGATTCAAACCCAAGAGCCACTCCTCAGAAGGAAGGTTGGGCAATCAACTTCTATAGTGATACCGCCTTGGAAACTCAAGGAGGGGTCGTTATGAGTCGGGTCCGACTTGACAGTACATAATGACAACAACCACCACCCTACATGTATCAAATATTACCTATACAAAATTTAGAAAAATGTGGTGCAAACGAATATGTAAATCGTGTCTTTCATTACGTAAAATATTTTCAATAAAACATTACACATAGCTTTAACAATTTAGCTCTTCCCTCCATCTCTCCAAATTCAGCAAATACTGGACTATCTTCCATTCCTCCAATGACTATCCTAGTAGCAGAGGCCAAGGAAACACTTTTTGTTGAAAACTGTCATGGAATCAGATTTGTTATAAAGAAACAATTTAAAATAATAATAAATTTATACTCTGAACTATTAGAAAAACTACAAAAACAACATACACATACATGAGTAGCATTTCTCTAGACCAGCAATAATCACAAAGAAAATACCATGAAAATATTTACATTAGCCACAACAAAGTAATTTTATTGAAGACTCAGCTGCAAGAATTCCACTGCTGAGTCGATTCTGACTCAAAGCAACCCTATATAATTCCCTAAGAATTAGACCAGAGAAATGGTGACTATAATATCCATCTTGATGCACTCACACTGACCTTACTCAAGGGTCCCCCACCCCCTTCTTTAGGCTTCACAACAGTGACCTCATCGCACCCAGTCACTTCCTTCCCAAATGGAGCCAGGCCTCCGACAATCCTCAGCCACTGGTCTGAGGCAGCTGATTACAGACAAGTGGCCTCCACTTCCATTATCCTAGCAGCTGTCTAATGCATCTGAACCACAAAATGGACCCTCATCACTTTCCTATCCCTGTTCCATCTTCATAAACAGAAACAGACAGCAGTCCCCAAGGGTACGAAATATTTTCTTTCTAGATAATTTTAAAGGAAAGGGGAAAAAGATGCGTATGTGCTAATGGAGCTTCTGTGGTTGAAACGATTTATCTGCAGATGTGCTCTGATGAGCCCCACGCTGATCAACCTGTTGTGCTGCTATAACTGAAATGTATCATTCCATTGAGACACGAGCAGTGGTGTCTTTGTGAAGGCGATTGGGGCTCTTTACACTCTAGTAGGCTGGCACTTTAGCCCTTAACTGGTACACATTAGAATCACCTCAGATTCAGTGAAATTTCTAACACTCCGTTATACTCTGTCTCATAGATACTACTCTGGTCTCCAAAATTTATTTAGATGAAGGGAAAAGTAAAAAGAGCAGAATTAAAGTGATAAATGAGTTAACTAAAGAAACTGACTATTGGGAGGAAATATGAAAATATTATAATCCCAAAAGTGAAAAGTATTTCAGGGAGAAAACCATGAGTGACAAAAACGCAGAATCATGACTTGGGCCTCGCCTGAACTTGGCATTGTACTGGTAGCACCAGTACATGCTCAAGTGAAGTGCAGAGGAGTTGAAGCACTTGACAAATAACTAAATGGATTTGCAAAGTGAATGGAAGAAGCCCCAACGTCAAGTTTCAGATTTACCTGGTCTTTGTCAGTCAAAGGAAGGACTGATTTTTAGGAAAGCAAGATTAGGTTTAAATCCTAGGAGGTCCAGTCAACACCGACTGGTATTACTGCCTGATTCACACAGCTCCGGGAACCAGGTTTTTGTTTTCAATTTAAAAAATTTCATTAATTTTGATGTTGTTGAGAACATGAACAGCAAAACATGTATCAATTCAATAGTTTCTACATATACAATTTAGTGACATTGATTATATTCTTTGATTTATGCAACCATTCTCACGCCCCTTTTCTAAGTTTTTCCCCCATTAACATAAACCACTATCCCCTAACTTTCCTATATCCTCTTTCAAGTTGCTGTTATCTGTTTGATCCCATATAAATAGATCTTAAAAGAGAAGAATGCTCAAGGCAGGTATTCTTTACTAGTGAAGCTAACTAAGATACTGTTTGGTTTTCAGAAGACTTTAGGGGATATTTTTCCTTTAAGGTTTAAAGATCATTTCAGGGCAATAATTTCAGGGGTTCATCCACTCTCTCTGACTCCAGAAAGTCTGGAATCTACAAGAATTTGAAATTCTGTTCTGCATTTTCCCCGTTGATCAGCAGTCTTCTATGGAATCTGTGATGTTCAGTAATGGTAGCCAAGTACATCCAGTTCTTCTGATCTCATGGCAGTTGTTCATAGAGGCAGTTAGCTACACACATTCCATATCCTCCTCCTATTTCTGATTCTCTTTCTTCCTTTATTGTTTTATGTGAATAGAAACCAATTGTTATGCCTTGGGTGGCCTCTTGCAAGTCAAGTGGTTTTTATCTTCCCGTGAGCTCTGCTGATTCTTGCTGGTTTGCTGGAAAAGGGTATGCTGAACCATATGCTCTCCTACACTCCTTACCCTCATCTATAAAGCAAAGACAAGATTTCTAACTATGCAGAGATATCTTACAAGTGATCCTAAGAGCCCAAAGCATTGCTACGAATTAGAATTGACTCCATAGCATTATTTTTTATTTTATTTTTGGTTTATGATAGCTTTAACACAGCTTTGGACAAGCAATACAGAGCCTCAGAGAAACCATAAAACACAATCCATATGGCACCACAGCAATGTTTTGTTCCGGGAACTGTGCCATTAGACAAAACCACAACAGTCATAAATATATAAACAACCCCTTTCTGAGTCATCTAACAGAGACTGAGCTCTGCTGCTGCACAGCCCAGGGGATCTTGTTTTTAATGGTGTCGTCTGAAAAGCTATACAGCAAATACTCTACGGACAAATATCATACTGTGTGGCCTAAATGGTTAGAATGGCCAGTGGTATCTAAATTTTGGGCAGCACGGTCTCTGCAGATTTCTAGAGAAGGGCCAGAATCCAGACTCTGAGAAAGAGAGTCTTTGAAGACATGTGATCTAGACAGGTTGCCATCTCTTATGATTATTTCCTGTGAGGCTGTGAACGTTAACGGAATAAAGCCTTCACTGTCAGCAGAGAGAAGAATCCAGAGGGAGTCTGTGAAGCAAAATAAACACATAAGCAATTTAGGATAGTATCTTATTCTATAAAGAAAAATATGATTATAAATGTGGTTTTCTTGAGAGGAGGGATATAGAAGTTGGTGACATTGAACCCGATTATCAGAAGACTTCAACAGAGAATGGGAAGATAGAAGCACTGAGTTATTACTTATGGTCAGGGTTATATGGCAGGGAAGGGATGCCGATGACTTACACCCACCCAAAAGTTGATTATTTAGGCACAGCAAAGGGACAGGCATTGTCACCCAGGCTGGGCATTTATCACTCAGTGCTATGCACATGTATGTGTGTAAACACATGCATGTACGCATGTGTTAGGGGTTGTGTGTGGAGCATCCCTACATGCTGTTAACCAAACTATGTGAATCGGGACAGCCCATCTAAGAAGGAATATTCTTTATTATTGAGATCCACCCAAGGAGGCTGAGCTTAGACAAGAGTGGCCCAGGTAATCCTGAATGGTTTGTTCCCTAGGGGCCACTAGCTAACACATCCCTGGACCATCTCTGGTTCTTTTAAGCACAGTGTTTCTTACCTTTTGACCCTATGATTTCACTTTTGAAAATCTATGCTTCCGAAAAATAAAATACAAAATATTCAGAGATATTTTTTTAGTGCTATTTGTAATGGTGAAAAATTGGACAGTCAAATGTCAAAGAAAATATGACAAAGCAAAATATAGTATACTTCAGAATAGAATATAATCCCCACCCATTAAAGATGACAATTATAATAAGCATGTGCTGAAATTTTAAAAATGCTGATGATATACTGTTAAGGGAAAAAAATGAAACAGCTGCTGTGAAAAGAATGAGACATAAGAAAACCACCATGCTCTACAGCTGATGGAGTGTGGGCACGACTCAGTCCCTTGCCATCTGAGAGTGCGCTTCATGTGTCCATGCTTGCTGCTTGTAAGAACGAAACATGAAAGAAATATTCCATGCCACTATGATCTTCGCATTTTTGCACAAGCATATATAAAGTTCTGTTATTTCCTTGTTATATATTGTCTTGTAAGTCTTTTCTAGTTATTCCATGTGTACATTTAAATTTTCCAGATAGACTCTAAGTTGTCTAAGGGCACAACCTGTATTTTTCATGTGCTTTGGCACTAGAATAGGGCTAGGTATACAGTATAGGCAATTAATGATACTTGAAAATTTTCTGCTGGCACTGTGGTGAAAGCACTGGGCTGCTAACTAAAAGGTCAGTGGTTTGAACCCACCAGCTGCTCCGTGGGAGAAAGATGAAGCAGTCTTCTTCCATAAACATTTACAGCCTTGAAAACCTGGGACAGTTCTACTCTGTCCTATAGAGTCACTATGAGTTGGAATTGACTCAATGGCAGTGGGTTTGGTAAATTATCTAGTAAACTGCTGAATGGTTGGTTACACCTCATTTTCACTATTAGTGAAAGTTACAAAACAGAAGGTGGAGGGAGGGAGTGTTAGGTAGGGTGGATTTCTGAATGGAACCTACCGTGCAGCATTTCAATAAAAGAGAGGCCAAATGTCTGCTGAACCATACTGAGCCTCAGTTTGCCATCACAGAGAAGCACGGCTCTTTTCTCAACAACAGAACCTACATGAAAGGGTTTCTTCAAATACAAAAATAAAAGTTGTTAAACAGACTGCAGAGGTGATAGAGTTAAACATTTCTTAAAGAGTACAATGCGTAAATTTCTTTCTTTTTTTTTTTTTTTAAATTCTCATCTATTACCACTTTCAACTAGATTTCAGTTTTAAATAAAGGTTCTTTGCTTCCCAAGGAGAATAAAACACAACCTCTAGTTTCCTCTTCCTGTTGCTCTGATCTTTCCTGAGCGTTATGTTTTTATCACTAGGAGCCAGCTTTCCTAGCAAATGTCTAATGACATTAGACATTACAGGACAGTAGCTTGAAAGACAAGGGCACCTGGTGGCATAGTGGTTATGCTCTGGGTGGTTAACCAAAAAGGTCAGTGGTTTGAATCCATCAGCCACTCCCCAGGAGAAAGATGTAGCAGTAAACTCCTGTAAAGATTACAGCCTTGGAAACTCATTTCTACCCTGTGCTAAAGTGTCACTAGGAGTTGGAATTAACTCCATGGCAATGGGTTTGGTTTTAGCCTGAAAGATAACCTGACTGTGAGGAGCTTTGACCTGGCTGTTTTAGATATAACTAAGTAAAGTGCGTAGTGCCTAAGGCATTTGACTGCT